GTATACACATACATACATACACACACGTATACACATACATACATACATACACACACGTATACACATACATACATACATACACACACGTATACACATACATACATACACACACGTATACACACATACACATACACGTATATATACATACATATACACGTATATATACATACATATACACGTATATATACATACATATACATACGTATACATACATATACATACGTATACATACATATACATACGTATACATACATATACATACGTATACATACATATACATACGTACATATACATACGTATATATACGTACATATACATACGTATACATACATACATATACATACGTATACATACATACATATACATACGTATACATACATACATATACATACGTATACATACATACACATACATACGTATATATACATACACATACATACGTATATATACATACACATACATACGTATACATACATATACATACGTATATATACATACGTATACATACACATACGTATACATACATACATATACATACGTATACATACATACATATACATACGTATATATACATACACATACATACGTATACATACATACACATACGTATATATACATACATATACATACGTATACATACGTATACGTACGTATACATACGTATACGTATATATACATACATATACATACGTATACGTATACGTATACATACATACGTATACATACATACGTATACACATACACATATACACACATACATACATATACATATACACACATACATACATATACATATACACACATACACACATACATACATATACACACATACATACATATACACACATATACATACATACATATACACACATACATACATATACACACATATACATATACACACATATACATATACACATACACACATACATACATACACACATACATACATATACATACATATATAAACCTCTGATGCAACGTTCACATGATTTCATGAAGACAATCCACGCTTCACTTGACAAACCGTTTCTTTTGTTGGATTCAATGAGTAGAAAAAGCACCGGATGTTTGAAACTACAACACACGAGAGACGTCTGATGCACGTCACAGGTCTCCAACATGTCCTCTTTATTCCCTCTCAGACGGCTGACGACAGCAGCGACCGATGTCTACAACACATCAGCGTGGACGTGACTGTGGATCGAGGTCACAGGAGCCACTGAGAAATGTTCTTCTAGGTTCTGATCCCTGAAGTTAATAACCGATATAAACATCATTGTACGGCCGGACTCGGGTTTCATAAACATGATTAAATACATGCAGAGAGTGAATGCCGGAGAACTTCCTCTTCACCGTGTCAGACATGCTAGCTCTGGCTAACGTTACACTCTGCCCGATCGCTACTGAGCGAGTGCAATCATCAGAGTCCACCATGGGAGTATTTAAGGAGTCATTTAGCTTCTTTGTGCTCTCTGGTGAGAGTTGCACGTGCTCAGTATGGATCAGTTAGCGAACGACACGTTGATGTTGTTGCTCAGATGATAAATGACACGATAACGAGGTATCGGGTCGGTGCAGAGACTCAGGGAAACACTCTGGGCTGCAGCAGAGGCTTCTCTGGTATCACAGAACTACTCTAGTTTATATTAAACTGTGTTCAGAAGAGAATCATTCTCTGAGAGACAGTAAATATGATTCAATCTGAGTTAAAGACCTTGTGACTTGTGAATTCATTCATCCGAACACTCATTTTGTGAAATAGTTTGAATTAACAACCGTCTGGATATTTAACCAGCTTTGATTTTAGGAGCTAAAACGACCAACGACATGATGTCAAACGGTTTAAAAATGGCGTCTAGCTTCAACGTACTTGGGACTGATGTCGACATGGTTGCAGATGAAGATTCCTGTTTTATATCTTCACAACGCGTTCACGTTAGCCGATTTATTTAGTTTCTCTCTTTAAGTCCAACTTCAGTCGCTTCCTGTTTCTTTTCTTTAAGTGCTCTTTGACTGACCAATCAGCTGCACGGAGCCCTTCTGCTCTCCGTCGCCCCCTAGAGGTCCATCCTGTATTTCGGAATGTAAATCTACTTCCCAGCGGTGTTGTGAACTTGATTATCTGTTTCGCTGTGACCTCATCATTTTGGCATTCGCGTTGTCGCTTTAAAGGACGCACAGAAAACAGACTCCGCCCTCTAGAAGCCTTCAGACGTGCGCTTATTTCTACACTTTAACTTCACTTTGGTACAAGCATATTGCTCCTTTACATCCATTCTGATTCATGCGTCTGCTCTCTCTCAGAGGGACGAGGACTCACACAGCTGCTGATGCCGCCGCCTCTCTTCAAGTTCATCTTCTTTAAGTCCATGATTAGGAGTGCAGGGGAGAGAGAGTGAGAGCGAGGTGTATAGCTCAGCAAAAAGAAGCACATTTAGCAGGAAACAAATGACAAAAGACTGAAAGTTCAAACTGAGATCGTGATTAGAAAAAGAAAAGGAGCAGCGCCACTTCCTCCCGGCGAGCGACGCTTGAGAAGCTGAGGACAGTCGGTTCTACAAAGTTCCTCACAAAAACACTCAGGATGTGCGTTTTCTTTTTTCAGCCAGATCGGCGCTTCATTCTTCCCAAGTCGAGGAAAAGCGGTCAGAGTTTAGCTGGGACGAACCGAACCGGTTCCATGATGAGTCCAGGTGTGTGTGTGTGTGTTATTTGTTGCGCAGCAGCTCCAGCTGGTCCTGGTATTCGGTGAACAGTCTCTGGAATCGCAGGTTTTCCACGATGACGGGTAAAACCTCCCGCAGCAGCTCGCGCTTGCGGAGACCCTGAACACACAGAGAACAGTTAGCAACACACCCGGCAGAGCTAGCTCGCTAGCTCGTTAGCAACGGGTACCAAAAAACAAGACGACGGCGTTCACAGTGTGACGGACCGGAGACGCATCATCACGTCTTACAATGATTAGACGCAGGGAGGACGACGGGCTAACATGACTCAGCGTTTCTCTCAACAGGTGTGAGAATTCTTTGATTAGTCGGAACATATTTGATGATTAGCAACATAACGGCTAGCTGATTGGTGCTTTCAGTTCACGTAGTTCATGAAGGAAAGAACACAGGGAGAAATAAAACCCTTTCTTTCCGTTCGTGCCGGTGTTTGTTGTGTTGGAGAACAGAAAGCGTAGCTCAGTGTTTTACTGAAACATTTTCAATGTCAGCGCAGACCAGATCCACTCCTTCTGTTCTGACCTTTCACAATAAAAGCCCTAGACTTATAACTGTTTACCAGAGGGAACTCTAATATATCTTACAGTGTCTTTAGCCTCAGACAGAAGCTGCTCTGGTCAACAGGATCCTGCTAGTTTATCCTCTGCCTGGGAGAATCTATTCAAACCTCTCAACGAAAATAAACGTTGCAAGTGTCGCAAATTTGCATCACTGATTGTTTTGATGAGCATCTTCGTGTGTATTCGACATGTCCCCCCGGCAGTGTAAAGGCCTGAAGACATTGGTTCTTTGAGTGTTGCGGTCGTACCAGAGTGGTGGGCTCCCAGGCTGTGGCGGCTGATTTGTGGACGGGACCCAGCAGCTCCTTACACAGCTCTCTGAGACGATGCTCTGAGCCTGGAGGGCACGCAGACACACACACACACACACACACACACACACATATATAAAGCTGTGTTCAAAGAGCTCTTTCACTACAGAATAATGCTCATGGAAGAGTTAGTTGATTACCTTCGTTGACGAGGAAGCGGGCGTAGATGAGCAGCCAGTAGCGGTACTCCTGCGCCGACTGCAGGGTGAGAGCGGACGCCAGCTGGTTCTCCAGGAAAGCCAGCGTCATGCTCTGCTGCAGGTGGTGAGGGGTGGAGGACAGGCGGGATGCCAGCCGACCGGCGCTGCAGGGACAAGAGAGACAGACGGACTCATTTACTTCTTTGTTACATTTCATCTGGACTGAGAAGGGGGAGATTTAATATCAAAAAATAGATTCTTAGGTGCAGGAAAACTCAAAAATCGGAAATTTAGAACTCAAATCTAAATTGATTCTAGATGTTTGATAATCCCATCGTAGCCCTCTGAGTCACAGTCGAATGGTGATGTGCCGAAAGATTCCCATCCCTATAATTATTGCTGTTCCTACTTGAGGTTGCGTCCCTGCATGACAGCCAGCGGCCCCGAGGACACAGGTGCATCGTGGGAAGGAAGGCAGCTCCTGAAGTCCGCACACTGGACCATAGAGTCTCCTTTGTCCGCTATCAGAGTCCTGAGAGAGAGAGAGACAGTGGGAGAGGTTTAATGCTTCAGTCTCACTCCACAAGAATCCTTCCAACCATCATCATCATCATCATCATCAGCGGTCTCCCTCGGGCTGTGTCTCACCACGTCTCCAGGGAGGAGCTGAAGCAGTAGGACTTCCCGTTGGACAGTCCGATGACGGGGACTCCATGCTGGGTCAGCAGAGACTGAGACACTGTGGTGTCAGCACCTACACACACACACACACACACACACACACACACACACACACACACACACACACACACACACACAATGTTTTCAGCGTGACTGGATGAAGTGGTTTGAAGCCGTCTTCATGTGAGGATAAACACTTGTTTATGGATCATCTTCATCATCATCAAGAGGAAGATTACATTGAATCGGTAGGAAATATATTTATTTGCTTTATTTCAATGAGTCTGTGTGTCGAGTACAGAGCTGGAGTCAGGATGTGGATAGCCTAGCTTAGCATAAAGACTGGAAACAGCTAGCCTGGTTCTGTCCAAAACACACCTACTTACAGCCACAGACTATAAGTGGACGTAGTCATTATGACGTCACCCATCGGCTTGTGGACTGATGATGTTTTGAAGCCTCGAGTTCAGCGTTTTGGCCATCGACTTCTTGGTTTTTGAAACCAGAAGTGATGAGAGGGTGGAGCTAAGTACAACAGAACACTGAATCAACATGTTAATATTAACTTCCATAAAGTGTAAACACACTATGAAAGGGTTAAAGTGACTAAAAGAGACCTGTCAATCACTGTGTAGCCCCGCCCTAAAGCATCCCCTG